CTGTTCACAATCAATCTTTCCAATAAAACTCTGACATGAATAACAAAATAAAATAAATAAAATTATAAGGAAGGTCTTTTTAAGCAAAATAATTAATTAACCAATAAATCAAAAAATTCTTGTAGATTATACCTTGTCACCTGTTCTTTGATTCCCTCTTGTTTGCCTTCTGCAAAAATATATAACAAAACACAACTAAAGTAGTGTGTATGACTATTGGGATATCGAAGTTGATTTGCAATGGCACTCAAAAAATAATAACGGCCTGATAAAATCAATTGTTTTATAAATCAGAAACTGTTTTAATTTATAATATTCATATAAATTAGATAACCAACCTTCTGGATCAAGATCAGCCACTAATTGTTTATAAATATCCATAGACGGGCTTGTTGTAATTAAAGTTCCTTGAAAATTATCATAAACATCTTTAATGCCAACATAAAGAACAAGAGCATTGAGGAGTGGTATATTATACTTGGAAACAATAAGAGCTGTATCTTGTTGGCTAGGATCCAATAATAATTTATCATGCAATTCCATTGAAAAACTAATTGGTGAACGTAATTTTAAATACTCATCAACATCATCTTTAAGCCCATGTGTTATTAAAGCCGAAGAGTAATCTGATAAAATTATTGGTGGTTGTGATATTTCTGGCAATAGATCTACTTTAAGGTTTGGTGTAAAAGGATCCGGCAATCTCATAGTACGTGGGAAGGCACTTAATATAAGATTTCTTAATTGAATACATGTTGATGGAATCACATCACAAAAGCTCAAGTGATAACCAGAAAGAAATTCTGGGAAATCATGCAATAAAACAAGTAAAACACGTAATGTTCCTTTGTATAATAAACGTGTGGTGTCTCTCATCTCAACATTTTGAAGAAATGGAACCAGGAATTTAAACAAGCATAGGAGTAAATTATGGAAAGTAGACCATCCCTGAATAATCAATTAAATAAAATTCATTTATTAATAATTTTTAATGTAATTTCAACCAAGTTCAATATATAAGAAATTAAAGCCAACCTTTTGATTTTCTGCTAATAATAATTTTGGCATGAATAGTCGATGTGAGATCAATGAAAACCATGCAAAGGTGAATCCAGGGAAAAAAGAGGGTTGTAAAGTATGAAAAGTATTGTTGCTGTTATTGTAATAGTTTGTTTTGTAATTAAAGTAAATATTTTTAGTGAATGTTTATAAAAAAATAAAAATAAAAATAAAAAACAAGAGACAAACCTTAAAGCTATAAGTATTTGAAAATAAATTGATTGAAATTGTTGTTCATAATAATTTAAATCGTTTAATAAACTTGAGAACAATCGGAAAAATGGTTTTTGATTAAATTGTTGGCTACGTTGTTCATGTGCTTGTGCTAAAATCAGTATAATTATTGATAATATTTTTGTCAGGTAAGAAATTTTTGCGACATTATCATCAATACCCTCAGTGTCTGTGTGATATTTCACCAAAAGAACAATAAGTTTAGAAAAGGCATCAATTGCTTGATAAGCTACAGCAGGTGTATTTTGGTGAGATGATCTTTGTCTTAGGTAAATATCTATACTAATTTCAGTACAAACTCTAAAGAACATTGAAGATATTTCTTCCCCTTTTAATACACTTTGCTGTTGTAGCTTCTATGATAATGATGGTGATGATGAAAACAAGGAGGATTATGATTAAAAGTTTTTCTTTAAAAAATATCAAATGAATATTTAAAAAAATACAACATAATGTGCATCTTTACCTGAATAAAGCTAGTATAAGTCTTTTCACCCGAGGATGGATCCTGATAAACCCTGATCCATTCTGTAAAGAGATGTGCCAGTTGATCACGCAATTCCACATCATCAACATCATTAACATCATTAATTACAATATTATTTCTAACAATGTTAAAATGTTTACCTCGTAAAATTTTTGGTGGGCGAAAGAATTTTATGGAAGAGCTTCTAAACCAATTTTCAAGAAATAGGGTTAGGTGTTTATCGTATATTAACATTAATATAGATAGCATTCCCAAATTCAATTTTTTGTATACATGAATAACAAATTTGTAGCAGTTGTATGACATTTTGGTGATTTGGTGTGAATGAATATTGTAAGGTGAATATTATGAACGATATTAAGAAGATTGAGAAAGATGGATGTCAATAAAAAATTATTATTTCTTGAATCCATTTTGTGAATATATATATATACTATATACTATATACACAAAGGTAAGATTTAACCATACAAATCAAAATAGACCTTCTTTACCAACAAACGCTTAATCCTGATGCAATTACCAAAGGCAAATTCGTAGTTAATAAATATAATATAAAAGCATTGATTTGTTATATTGTATATACACATATATATTTAAATAAGACAAAATAATCACCAGACCAATACTTTTCAGTAATAAAATTCTATCCTTTCCCTTTCAATACGTTTGAAACAGCAGTATAGATAGTGAACATGTGAGCATTCTAACATTTTAGTTTGTAATTTTTATTGGGAAAAAAAAATTGCAATAATTAAATGTCGATCAACAAAAATTCATATAAATAATAATGACGTCATCAAACAATCTACCTTTTTATTGAAAAATTAAAACGAATCTTTAATTTCGGTTTCCTCCATTTTTTTCAAGAAAAATAATGTGCCCCTCCCCATTATGAACAGTGAGGAACAATTATCCACCACGTCCTTTTCCCATCAACAGCAGTCTTTTTCTTCTTCTAATAATAATAATAATAATTCTAGTATTTCAAACACATCAAAAATAAAACCTGCTACTGCAACTATTATTGATTCTATTTCCTCTGCAGCTAAAAACTCAAGCACTTCTACAAATATTTATTACAACATCAAAAAAGTTCCTAGCTCTTCAACTACAAGATCTTCGTTGTCGGCCCCATCCTCTACCTCATTCTCCTCATCCTTGTCCAACTTTCTTCTTCAATTTAGATCCCGTACTAATCTTACTATTATTGTAAAAGCCCAAATTTCTTTTTTACTGTCGAGGATTTCCGTTGAGAATTACGCTTACTCTGTAACAGAGCTTAACACTGTAAGCCATATATACATTTACACATATACACAATTATATTTATTTTTAAATAATTAATAAAAAAGTTTTTCCTTCTTTTTCTTTTTGATAATTTGATTTACAACGCATATAATAATTTTCTAGTTATCAAGATACAACGGACAGGACACCTATTTTTATTTATTAAGACAATTAGTAATAGTAATCAATACTTTACCCAGAAAAAATAATAATATTGAGATACTAAAACATCTTTTAACTGAAAAAATCGAAGAAATTTCTATTGATCCGTTACTTTTAAATATATTTCGTGAAGTATTAAATTCCATTGATAACAAAAGCTTGTTTAAAGATTTTAATTTGGATAGCCTTTTGGGTAGCAAGGGAATCAATCTTCCGTTTGCTCTTTCCACGACTACAACGTGAGTAAATTTATATAATATTTTATTTTATTTTTATTTATTTATTTATCGCGAAAATAATTGTCTCTAAATTTTCTTTCTATTAAATTTTTTTTTAGTCAAAAATATCAAACCATAATGAGTAATGATGATAATATTGATCAAAATAATAATTTAACTTTACCAAAAATTTTGTTAGATTTGGGAAGTAAATGTTGTAGTACTGTTAACTCATTCAATGAAGTGTTGGCTAAATTAGGTGTTCATTCTTCTGCATCTGGTGAAATCATTAAAGAGGTTGATGTTGCTCGTGCACTTGGTGTTATGGCTCTTACAACTGCTAATCTTGAAGATGATAGTAGTAACATTGCCTGGAATCAATCAAACGATCTTTTCGATAATAATAATTCAAATTGGAATGTGGAAATATTTGTTTCGTCTTTATCCGAACTGGTTAGTATTGATTACCTTCTTAAATAACTGCCACATTTATATAGAGAGAAAATGTTAATTTAATATTTTTCTCTTTAATTTAAATTATTTATTTATTATCATCATTAGCAACCTCATCTAGATTGGGTAAAAGTTATAAAACAATTAGACTACCCCGAGTTTACTATTAAAGATACAAAAGGAGTTCAACTAATTTTAACTGCTTTTAGAAAAGCAGCCAAGGTAACTAATTATTACATACACACATATGTACATAGACATAATTATAATTATTAAAATTTTTTCATATAAAAATATTTAGGATCAGCAAAAATTTCCAATTCATTTATTTTGGGGCAGTTGGAGCAACCTTAAAGGACAATTTAGTTTTTTACATCAACTTATACAACTTTCACCAGATGCTTTCAATATTAATGATTATCCTGTTCAAAAAGTTTTAACTATTGATGATTTTCCTAATTCTCCCACAAATTCAAAATCATTGTCTGAAATGTTGACATCCTGTCCATGGAATTCACTTGAATTAATTGAAACGTTAATAAAAATGGCTGATACTGATTTATTTGAAGATGTTAGGGTCACTTTTGAGCTATCCATTAAGCAAGCTCCAGAATTAATATGTTTAGGTCTAGTTCAAATTCAGGTATATATGTGTTTATATTTATAAACAAATTCTTTTTACTGTTTGCATTATCACCAAAGGATAATTTATAACAGTAATAATAATAAAATAATAATAATAATTTAATAATCATCGTTGTTGTTGTCTATTATTATCTATTAGAGACCATGGAATTCTTTACATATAGAATTTGTTAACAGATTATTATCAACATTTTTGACAGGTCATCTTAATTCAACATTGGTGTTGTCTCGTATATGGAATATTGACAACAATATTTTTATTGAAAGTTGTCTTGAAATGTACAAAAAAGATCCTTTCACTATTACAAGATTATTAGATGTATCACAAGAATTAAAGGTTAACTCTTATTATAATTATTATTAAAATTTTTTAATTTAGACCATATATATTTATATTTATAGTTATTTGTTTGTTTACTTGCTTTCTTATATAGGTATTAAATTCATTGCTAGAAGTTCAATATTTCTTGTTTACCATTGATTTAGCAGCTCTTGCATCTAGAAGAGAATATCTAAACTTGGAAAAATGGCTTCAAGAAAAAATAAATGAACACGGTGAAGCATTTGTTCATGATTGTATGGAGTTTCTTAAACAAAAGATTACACTAGAAGTTACTCATGAAACGAATGGTAATGATCAAGCTGTTCGCTTAGCAGATGAAGTTGTTCTTAAATTTTTACGAGTTATCTCCAATAGGTAAGAAATTTAATAATAAATATTTTTATTAGATAATATTTAAAATTTTATCAATTATACTTAGTATAAAAAATATATATGTTTGTTTCCTTTTTAAAGTAACATGACTCCAGAAAATGAAGAATACTTTAAAGAAATTCGTAAAACATTAGCACAAATATATCCATCTCTTAGTATTATTCCACTTGATGGTAGTATTCCTCCTCCATTAGAACAATCTTTTCCTGCTGAAATTGAAGAGATCGCCAATCTATATTTTGAAAAAGTTTATCGTCAAGAAATAGAAATTGAAGATATGATTAAAGATTTGCAAAGATTAAAAAATTCTCAGAACTCTCGAGAATCTGAAATTTTCTCTTGTATGATACACAATCTATTTGATGAGTATCAATTTTTACCAAAATACCCCCAAAGAGAATTGAACCTAACTAGTATCATTTTTGGATCTCTCATTAAATATCAACTTGTGGGATATGTAGCACTTGGTGTTGCTCTACGATATATACTAAGTGCCCTTAAGAATCCTGTAGATTCTAAATTTTACATTTTTGGAATTCAAGCATTAATGCAATTTCAATCAAGACTTCTTGAATGGCCACAATACTGTTCACATCTTTTACAAATTCCACAATTACAACAATCTCATCCAGATATTATTCAATATGTTAAGTCAGCTCTTGCTGCAAATGCTGACAATAACAACATTGATGACAACAACAATAACATTGATATTGAGGCACTAAATATCGTTAATAACAACAACAACAACAACAGCAACAACAACACTAATAGTGACAATAATAATACTAACAACAACAACAACAATAACGGCAGCAACAATGACAACAATAACATTACTTCTAGCCCCACTAATCTAAGTAATACTGGTAGTAGTAGTATTATTAGTTTTGAACAGCAACCTATAAAATTTCTTAACAATAGTGTAATCAATGATTCTATGAATAACCCTGAACAATCAAATAGAATAATTGAAAAGCCAATTTTTACGGCATTAACTTTGGATACACTTTTAGCAGCTGACAAAGCTGATTACGAAATTCCAAGCGAAGCGGTTCAAGATAAAATCCTTTTTATTATTAATAATGTTGCTCAAAGTAATTTTGAAACTAAAGTTGCTGAAATGAAAGAAATTCTCAAAGAATCACATTATAGATGGTTTGCTAATTATTTGGTTGTTAAGAGGGCCAGTATCGAATTAAATTATCATCAACTTTACCACCAATTTCTTGATGCTCTTGAAATACCAGAACTTTATCATCATATTTTGCATGAAACTTTTTCAAATATTAAGGTTCTATTGAATTCTGAAAAAACAGTCCATTCTTCATCTGAAAGGTCTTTATTAAAAAATCTTGGATCATGGCTTGGTGGTTTGACACTTGCCAGGAACAAACCTATCAGGCATAAAAATATAGCATTTAAGGTATTTTTTAATAATAAAATGATATCATTACCATTATAATTCATTTTAACAAAAATTATTGATATATATTTAATTAAAAATTATTAGGAATTGCTAATACAAGGTTATGATAGTAGTAGGTTGATAGTAGCAATTCCATTCGTTTGTAAAGTTCTTGAACAAGCAGGAAAAAGTAAAGTTTTTAAACCACCAAATCCATGGTTGATGGCAATTATTAAACTCTTGGTGGAATTGTATCACAATGCTGAATTAAAACTAAATTTGAAATTTGAAGTTGAAGTTTTGTGCAAGAGTTTGAATATTGAGCTCAAAGATATCAATCCAACAACTATTCTCAAAGATCGACCTCTCAAGGAATCTGCTGTTTTACAATCAGAAAGACCCCTAGCAGAATGGCCTACAAATAACTCTGTTAAAATTGAACATCAAATACCTAGACCACCAAGCGTTACACTCACACCTAACCCACCATCTTCATTACCTTTGAATGGTAAGTATTAAATACACTTCATGTTATATTTATATATTTTTATACATTTTATTTATAACGATACAATTACTCTTTTAAAGACGATGTTATTCCAAATATTTCTCAGTATATTACATTCAACCCTACATTATCTATATTTGTTAATCAACCAACATTGAGGAAAATTGTTTATTTGGCTATTGATAGAGCGATTAGAGAAGTAAGTTTTATAAATTTACATAAAAAACATTGTTTTAATTTTGATTTAAAATTTATAATAAATATTTTTTGAAATATAAAAGATTATTGCTCCTGTAGTTGAACGATCTGTTACTATTGCAGGCATTTCTACTCGTGAATTGATATTTAAGGATTTTGCTATGGAACCAAATGAAGAAAAAATGCGTAATGCTGCTCATTTAATGGTACAAAATTTGGCAGGAAGCTTAGCCTTAGTTACATGTAAAGAACCCCTTAAAATCAGTATGGCAACACATTTAAGAACTTTATTTTTGCAACATGGTTTTAGTGAGGTAGAATTATATTGCTTATTTGTATGTTTTAAAACAATTGAATTTTTTATTTAATGTACATAATTATTTAATTTAATTTAAAAAATTTTCAACAGCAAAATAACATTGAACAAGCAATTTTAATTTTGGTTTCTGATAACCTTGAGTTGGCATGTTCAGTTATTGAAAAAGCAGCAATGGATAAAGCGGTGCCTGAGATTGATGAAGCATTATCAACAACATTTAGTAATCGTAAGAAACATAGAGAGGTGGTTATTATTTTATTTTATTGTTTGTCTGTTTATATGGGCATTTGGTATTGAATAATCGAAATTATTGATATTCACACAAAAAGTTTTTTCCCCAGAGAACTGGTCAATCATATTATGACATGTATCCTGGCGTTTCAAGATATGCTAATAATCTACCTGATCCTTTACGTTTAAAACCTAATGGTTTGCAGCCGCAACAATTACGTGTATATGAGGACTTTTCAAGAATCCTGCGTTTCAATCCAATATATGGTAAGCAAATCTATTCAATGTATAATAACAATTTAAAAAACCCCCAAAACCCCAATAACTTTATTTTCATATTTATTTTTGAATATAGATGAACGTGTACCTAGACTGAATATGTCTAGACAAGATTTTCAAATTAATAATCCATATACTATGCCGGAAATGCCTTATGATTCTGCAGCAGCAATTTCACAAGTCCCAATGCATATTACTTTTGAAAAGTTTATGGTAATTAAACTTTTTTTTTTTCTAATAAATATATATAACTAACAACATTAATATGTATTTATATATTTATTCCTCTTCCTAGCAATATCTTTCTGAATTAGATAAATTAGTCAACAAAACACCACAAGCTTCTTGGGCTGCTTTACCACCTAATCATGAAATATGCATCTTGGTCAAAGAAATACCAATCTTAGCAACTCAAACCTATAACCGTGATGAAACAGCTCTGATGTTCTC